GGGTTCGGGAACCGGGTTTCCCCCCGGGGGGGGTTTTTTTTGGGGGCCGGGGGTTCGGGGGGGATTTTAAAGCGGAGGGGGGGGTTTTTTTTCGGGGGGTTCGGGACCCCCCCCAACCCAAACATGGACAAAAAGGGGGGTTAGGCCCGGGGGGCCCTTTTCCTTTTTTCCAAGGAAAAAGGGGGGTTGCCTGCCCCGGGTTTTAAGAACCCCTTTCGGGGGGAAATTGCGCCCCTTTGGGGGGGGGGGGGGGGGGGGGCGTGTGTGTATGTGCACGAACCGCCCCCGCCCCCCCCCACCATCACACCCACGCGCGCGCGACCTCCGGAGGCTTGCGCCGGCTCCTCTCCTCTTCCTTTTCTACTCTTGTGGACTGAAAAGAGAAAAAAAAAAAAAGGACAGGATTTGAAGGCCGGCCGGCAACACCTCCCGATTGAGGCCAAGCGTAAAGTAAATAGTAGCGCGCGCTATAACTGGTAACTGCTCCCGCACCTTGTGTGTTTTGAGAGGGGCTTATAGCTGTCATCTGTTTTTTTCTCCCTGTCGCTTGTGTACAGTCCCATTCTTTTTAAAGCATCCGCCCTTTCAGGGTGGACATTTCCATCATCCACACCGGGTGTTGATTTAGAACTGGGAGGGGGAGGATTGGCAGGAGGGAAAGAGGTTTCTTTCCCTTGAATAGTTTGGCAAAAGAACGTTTGTTTTTTCGGCGAGAGAGAGGGAGAGCAACGTGTTAAGAGCGCGACTTTGTCTCGTGTCCGCGATGCACGCACGCGTTCATCTGTGATGGTGCTGATGCAAGTGAGAACTACATCCGGACGCCAGTGCTGCTCGATTGACTTCTTCCCTTGCGTGGCCCTTGGGCGTGCATTCGGGGAGGGTTGTCATATGGACTTGTGGGCTTTTTTTTTTTTTTTTTTGGTTTTGTTTCACGATGGGGCCCATATGAAGAGAGAGGGGAGACTACATCGGCGTGTGGAGAGTCCTGATGATGTGTCGTGTGCCATGATGTGGAGGGCGTTGGCCTTTTTATGTTTTTTCTTGTTTTTTGTCTCTCCGTTCCTTCTTTTGTTTCTTGCCTCCGCTCTCTACGGTACAATGCCCAGCTGTGTGTCTGCGTAAACGATTCGTGCGCGAAACGGTGACAGCGGGTATCGGGTGCTATGGCTGCTGTGTGTGGGGGGGGGGGACGGAGGCAATTGGGCCAATCACCGGCGGGAAGAGACGAGTTCAGCGCAATCGCTCCTTGTCCTTTCCTGTTTTCACGGTATGCGCCAGACGTGGTGACGCTTTTTAGAGTATGATGCCCTGGAGGAGGGGTGGGGATAGATTGCGTGTGTACTTGTTTTCCTTTTTTTGCTCCCGCTACTTTGCGTTCGGGTTTGGCTCGACCTGACTCCTTCGGTGTCATTCGCCGCGGATTGCCCTTGCTGCAGGGGGGGGCACGCTGATTGAACTGTGATCGTAGTGATGAGCGCCTGCCGTGCGGCCCGGTGCCCCCGAGCACTTGCTCGCGGCCGACTCGACTCACGAACCGCTCGCTTCATGCGTCGGCGTTATGGGCCGGCGTGCGTTGCGCTTGGCGTTCACTCTTGTGTGCACTAGTCGCTGCATTCGCAGCGAGTAATTTTATGTCTGTGCTTCTAATGTTGGCCTGTGCTATAAGTAGTTGTTTTTCTCTCCTCCTTGTTACGAAACGTGCCTGGTCTGGTTACTCTTGAGAACATTTGGCTACTGTGTTCTCTCGGTGTTTTTTTTTTTTTTGGGGATGCCTGGCGGCGAATAAGGGTAGCAAGTTCGGTTATCCGCCTGTACAAAGAGGCGCTATTAAATCCACGGGGCCGGCCGTCAACTGTTTGCCTCGAGACGATCAAGGTTCGGACTTTTTTGTGTGTATACGCGAAGATGGCGCTGTTTTAGCGGCGAGACGATTGAGCTTTTTGGGGTGCGCGTGTGTACCCGAGAGCGTGTTCGCGTTTCCGTTACTTCGAGCCTGCCTCAAACACAAACGAGAAATTCGCCGCGGCTAGTCTTTGCGTGTTTGGGGTGCGGCTTCCGGACTTTTTAGCAAACAGCGATTCCGAAGACATCTGCTGGACGTCCGTCCTTCCCGAGTAGACAGGAGCGCTTGTTTCCGCGCCATTCCGGGCGTTGGTAGCGCTTGCTGTACGTACGTGCGAACCTCGAACATTGTAGTGTGGATTTGATCCTCCCCCAAGTTTCAAATTTTGCGGGTTTCTTGGTGGAACCAAGCATGCCTGCCTGCCTGCCTGCCTTTCGTTGTGGCGGAACTACTGTACTTTCCGCTGCACCAGGGCAGCGAAGTAGATTTTATTCGGAAACGTTGTCGATGGCTCTTGCTGCTCCGGAACCGGAACGGACGGTATGGGTGGATCATTTGTTGTCTACCAGGCAGTAGCGGCACCCACACGGTTTTCGTTGGTTTGTGCTCTCTCTTACGGAGGCTGTTGTGCACTCGAGCGTTATGGCACCGATGTCGTTAGTAAGTTTTTTTTCGATGTATCGCCAAGCATGAGGGATTCCATGGTTGATTTTTGGCCACTCTCTCGCTATATATACGTTTGAGTGAAAATGAGTATATGAATAGTTAACCGATGTGTTTTCATGCGTCTCAGGTTCTCGCGCCGGTCATCACGAGCCTTGTAAGAAGGAAACAACGATTTCCAGAGGACAGCGTTGGAACGTGGATCGAAACGTGGACGAAGGTGCTTCCTCTCGTGATACCAAATGTTGGTGCCCAACATGGTTATTGCACTTCACACTCCTCCCGCTGTCGCTGGAGGAGCGTTGAAAGTGGAGAGGATCCATCCCTGAAGCTCTAATGATGCCTAAATTTCCACGAACCACCGACAACAAACTCAAACGAAAGAGTTGGCGTTCCTCGCGTGTTTATGCAAAAAAAAATACACGATGAAATCTCTCCGGGATCCCCTGCCGTCACAATGGATGCTGCTAAACGGCTCACTTGTAGAGAGGCCTACGGCAGCAGCGGCAGATCTGCGACCGTGTGGAAGCCGTGTTAGGGCTGGCCAGCCCTAGATGGTATAAGAATGATCTTTGGTGGTGGGTACTGTAATAGCTTGTTGATGCCAACGTACGCGGAGGGTCCTAGAGAGCACGTGTCCCGCCAAGAGCGCCGACCATTTATTTTTTCAGCCGGTCAGCGCTGTCAACAACAGCATCATCAACAAATGGAGCACCTGTTGTCAGGGAAAGGCGGAGTACAGCCCACCTCTTCTTCTAGCATCATGCATTAATTAGCATCTTGCATTATGAGTCGGTCGGTCGGTCGGTCGGTCATAAATCAGGTGGTGCGTGAAGAAACAGCACCCAAATCAATATGTGTTGGTTCAAGAACGAACGATAAAACCAACTCGTCCCACACTTTTCCAATACACAGATTTACCCTTGCTGGTACATCTACAAATCCACCGTGGGTATCACTTTAGGCACACCCTGACACGCGAGCGAGTAGGAGCTTACAATAGACGGGGAGCTGCCGAACTTGGGCAGAACATTTCCGGACGCGGCATCGCAGCGGCACTTCCACCACACACACGCGTCCGTCTCGCACAAGCACTACAACAGAAGAACAAAAGAACAACATCCACAACGGGTAACATTCCGTCTCGCACAAACACAGAACTCTAACAAACAACACCGGGCATGTACATAGTTCATGGTATGCACACACACACGGAAACATAAATGTATGCACCAAAACGAAGCAAAAACACGTTCGTTCGCGTCATGCATTAAGTAGTGTATCCTCACAACGACCGCCAAAAGCAAAGCCGCCGATCCCACGCGCAGGTAGCCATCAAACGCGGCTCGAACAACGAAAACGCCACCCCCGCGACAAACTCCGTGTGGCCCACACACCGGTCTAGCAGCCGCGGGGACCCCTGCCCCTGCCCCTGCCCCTGCCCCCGCCCCCCCCCCCCCCTCCCTCCCCC